ATCTGTGAAGGGAAATTGGTGTTACGGAGGAGTAGTTGACACCTCACTGATAATTAAAACTGAAACAACCAGAGAAGCTTGCCTTGCCTCACAATCTGTCAAAGGAACTATGAAAAGTGGTATAACCTGCCTCTCGCACCCCTCCATCCTCCAATCTGTTATAAAAGAATGGTTAAATGAAAGAAATCCCTCATACTTACTTTATAAGCAACAAGTAACAATTTATCTATCTAACTCTAACTGTGAACAAATTAACAGACTACTAACAAACCAAACAATTTTCCCCTTAACTACTAACTATTCCCAAATAAAACAGCATTCTAATGATATGCAGTTCCAATGGATACAAATCCCATTTATATAAACCAAAATAATTTTTTAAAAAAAACTTAATCTCTCAAAATTACAGCCAGGATAAGTCTTCCAGAATGTTCTTTGCCTTCTCCGCTGTCCTCCTGTCAGGAACACCTTCCTCTGTCGAATTCTTGTCAGAAATATTAGCTAAGAGTGCCACAGTACCTTTGTTTAGATGGTGCTTACTCTGAGAGCTTAGAGATTTCTGTGAGAGCCAGTGATTTTTCTCTTTCTTTAGAGCTGATTTCTGTTGAGAGCTGTTCTCTTAACGGATGGCAGTTTGCTTTCAAACCAATTTTCAAATGTCCTCGTCTTTTATATTCTTGATGACCTAGTAATTTCTTACAATAAGAGTGGTCCTAGGTTGTCAAAACCATCAGATTTAAATTTGATTGGGTTTTGGTTTCTAGGGCCTGGTTTAAATTAATTGGCTGATATTAAAACTGCCTTCATAACAAAACAAGATTACTGCATAGGTTGCCAACCATGCAATCTTTTGATACAAATGTTTCAATTTTGATAACTCTCTGTGCCCCTACTGCTGCTTGCAGACATTTTCTTTAAATCTCCAAGCCTAGCTAGCAATTTGAGTTTGTTTCTGACTTGCAGCATCCACAGTTCTTGCAGTTTTGAAACAATATCAAGTCTGTTGAACATTGGCAAAAGGTGAGGCCCCTTTCTCCTTAGTCCCCTAACCTGCCTCAAATGGCTAAAATGGAGAGCACATAGACTGACCAGTCAATCCAAGTTTTCTGCAGGTGTTCTTCCGCTGCTCCGCATTTGACCTTTAACTGATCCTTCTATTTCTTTCTCTGTCATTTACTTTTGTGGCTTCCCCATGAATGCAACTGCGCTGGTTTTGTCCACCAGTTCACGTGGCAATGATTCTGCATACTTGCTACCGTCTAGGTAAAGTTTGAATGTTGAAAAAGGCCAATCTTCTCTGGAATATGGATTTCAACATTCAGACTATCCAGAAGAATTTCAGGCTTATTTTCCCAAAGGTCAGGACAACCAAGGACACTTTTGTATTTGTTGTCAATGTTTCTGATATTGCAAAATGCTGTTTTTGGTTTTGTGATAAAGCTACATCTGCCATAAAATCAAAGAAGCAGGAGTAGGCAATTCAGCCCTTTGAGCCTGCTTCACCATTCGACATGATCAAGCTGATCATCCAATTCAGTATCCTGTTCCTGCTTTCTCACCAGTCCCTTCAATCCATTTAGCTCCATGGACTATGTCTAACTACTACTTGTAACCACTTCCTTTGGCAGCTGACTCATCACTCTCTGGATTTTAAAAAAAAATTCTCAGCTCAATCTTAAATGGCCTGTATCCTTAGACTGTTCTAGACTTCTAGTCATTTTGAACATCTTTTATGTGTTTACCCTAATCCTGTTAGAATTTTATAGATTTCTATGAGATTCACCACCCTCCCACCCCCTGTCATTCTTGTAAACCTCAGTGAATATAGTCCTAACCGATTCAGACTATCTTCGTAGTCAGTCCTGTCATCCGAGAATCAGTCTGCTAATTAAACCTTTGTTGCATTTCCTCTTTAAATAAACACCAATCCGTAGATAAGGAGACTAAAACCGCACGCAATGACAATTTAAAAGGGGTTTTCCAGAAAGGCAGGATTGGTGCCTGTTGTTATATCGTGGGATAGTGATTTTTTTTTTTAATTCATTTACGGGACAAGGGCATCGCTGGCTCGGCAACATTTATTGCCCATCCCTAATTGCCCAGAGGGAGTTCAGAGTCAATCACATTGCTGTGGGTCTGGAGTCACATGTAGGCCAGACTAGGTAAGGATGGCAGTTTCCTTCCCTAAAGGACATTAGTAAACCGGATGGATTTTTCTGACAATCGACAATGGTCATCATTAGACTCTTAATTCCAGATTTTTTTTCATTGAATTCAGATTCCATCATCTGCTGTGTTGGGATTCGAACCCAGGTCCCCAGAGCATTATCTGGGTCTCTGGATTAACAGTTCAGTGGTAATACCATTAGGCCATCACCTTCTCGATGTGCCTGGGTGTTTCAGTGTTTGGAGAAGGTTGTAGTGATCTTTCAAGGAAATGCTAGCATATGCAATGTCACCATTTTGAGGGTTTTTGAAAGGAGTTTCTGGGAATCTAGCAGTGCATATTGTGCATCATTGGGTATTGGACAATGCATTATGAAGACTATGTGCATTCCTACAGGGGTCCCTGATAGACTCTGGGTAATTGTATGATCTGTTGGTGACTCTGTCAATCTGGATGGATTTTGGTCTGTGACACCAGCTCTAGGAACCCTTTATTTTGGAATAAGCCTTTTTGTGTGTTCGGACAGGTTCCTGAGACCCTGGACATCAAGCGTACGTTTGATTGGGTGTGACATCAAGTTCCTGTAGCAAGACAGCAGTCAGCTGGAATTGTGCAAACCCTCTGCTTCATTGGAGTCTGATGATGTACAAAAGATGATGATTGTTGAGGTTAATCAGCTCAGTCCCAGAACATCACTGGAGAGGTTCCTTAGGTCCAGCCATCTTTAGCTGCTTCAACAATTACCTTCCCTCCAGGATAGATTCAGAAGAGGGGATGTTCTCTGATATTTGCACAGTGTTCAGCACCAATCATGACTCCCCTAATGCTAAAGCAGGCTGTTCCTATATGCAGCAAGTCCTGGACAACTTCCAGATTTGATCTGATAAGTGATGAGTAATATTTGTGTCACACAAGTGGTAATCAGTGACAGTCTCTAATAATAAGGAATCTAACCATTGCCTCATGACATTCATTGGCATTGTCATTGCTAAATCCTCCACTATCATTCGAGTTACTGTTGACCAGAAACTGAACTGGACCAGCCATTTAATTACTGTGGCTGCAAGCTGGTCAAAAGTGAGAAAGTGTGCAGCAAGTAGCTCATGTGTAACTCATTCACCAAAGCCTGTCCGCCAGCTCTAAGTCAGGAGTGTAATGGATTTCTCTCCACTTGCCTGGATTGGTTGCACCATCCAGGACAAAGCAGCTCACTTGATTGGCACTCAGTCCAGCACTTTACACATTCACACCTTTCATCACTGAAGCCCAGTTACAGCCACATGTACCAAGTACAAAATGCATTACAGCAACTCACCAAGGCTCCTTGGCAGCAGTTTCCAAATTCGTGACCTGTATCACCTAGAAGCACAAATACAATCAATACAAGGGAGCACAATCGTCTGCAATTTCCAAGCCACAGATTATCCTGGCTTGGAACAGATCCTTCATTGTTGTTGAGTTACAATCCTGGAACTCCCTTCCTAATGGTTCTGGAGGTGTTCCTGTGTCCCAAGGATTGCAGAAGTTCATGGTGGCAGCTCGCCACTTTGCTCAGGGAAATTAGGGTTGAGCAGTATACCCCAAGAATGATTTTTTTTTTTGTTTGAAAAGCTTTCAGTTTGGGGAAAAAAAACCTAAGAATTGTTTTGTATTATCTAATGCACGATCCAACAAGACACAAAACAGAATAAGAAATTTGAGTCGGCAAAGAGAAATCCCCATGTGTGATGAAGGGAACCACCCCCACCCTCCATGGCATAAACTAACACATTCATTTCGCAGAGGCTGGTGTAGCAAGATATTTTATTTTCAGCATTCTACATGACATTTTCACAGGAGTTATAGTTAGTAATACTGGCTGATATTAGGAAGCCTGTCATGAATTATAATCCAATTCGGAAGTCAGGCTGACATTTCAAGTCAAGATGAAAATAATCTTTGTCTATTGTGGTTAGGTCACATAACGGCCAACAAATTGAATAAGAAGCAATGATGTTTGCACAGTTACGAGTATTTGTGTATTATTTCTGCACAATTCTGCTTTTAGGTCAGCCTAGAAATGTCAGTCTCGGTACCTTATGTGGCGCATTGCTCTCTGAATCAGAGGTCATGGGCTTGGGTTGCACTTCAGCGACTCCATACAATGTAAACTGACAATGCAGTACACTATTGGAGGTATTGCTTTCCGGTTAAGTGTTCAACTGAAACCTATATCTGCTATCTCAGGATGAAAAGATTGCATGGCTGCCATCTGAAAGAAGAACAGGAGGAGATCTCCCTAGTGTCCTGTCCTAGATTTATCCAGAAAAAAAAAATCTGTAAAACATGGTTATGATGCACACTGATCTGCCCTGATTCTTCAAAATGGAGCTTTGGTTTGACCAGTTGGTTTATTTCCATGTATTTTTTGTTTAAAAAAGTTTTCCGTTTTACAAAAACAGATGTTCTGCTTATTACTGCGTTCTTTGTGGGACCTTTCTATGTGGTCCAGGTCTTCTCAGTGTTCTAGAGCAACATGTCCTCCAAACAGCGGGTCATTCCTTCATTTCTGTTTTTGAAACCTTTCTGTGCACCAATTCACTGCCACAATTTCCTGTACTACAGCAGACACCCACATACAAAAGTGCACAACTCTGCTGCTTGACATGCAGGGGTGTTAGGAGCAGAGACTTGCTGAGTGACCCTACATGCAGTTGATCCTGACTTTATGCCCAGAGGCCTGAATTAATAATGCAAAGAATGAACATTTGCATTGAAAGAACATTTTGCAGTTTCAGGCAGGTGTGAATAAGTAAGTTTTACCCTGACATGATTGTTCATTTCTATTTTGCAGACCAGTTTTAAATGTCCAGCCGATTGACCTGTCTTTCAGCGATGAACCACATGAGGGGGTGCCAGGCAACAGAATTGAAATCAGCATGGATGTGGTACGCATGCAAGATATGGAACCCTTGGACCCAATGTGGGTGAGTGTGGGCTTATTCTAGTGCTGGTGATAACTTATTCTGTTAGTATATTCTGTTGGTACCAAGATGTTCACTCTTCTGGCTTTCATCATAATAAGTGACTTAAATGTAATAAAGGCTGTGTTTGAAATACCAATTACGTCTATACCTAGAAGCATAGAAGATGGGAGAAGGCCATTTGGCCCTTAGAGCCTGCTCCGCCATTCTTCATGATCATGGCTGATTGTCCAATTCAGTAGCATAATCCTGCTTTCTCTCCATAACCTTTGGATCCCATTCGCCCCAAGTGCTATGTCTAGTCGCCTCTTGAATACATTTAATGTTTTGGCATCAACTACTTCCTGTGGTAATGAATTCCACAGGCTCACCACTCTTTGGGTGAAGAAATGTCTCCTATCTCTGTCCTAAATCGTCTTCCCTGAATCCTCATATTGTGACCCTTGGTTCTGGACACACCTACCATTGGGAACATCCTCCCTGCATCTACCTTGTCCAGTCCTGTTAGAATTTTATAAGTCTCTGAGATACCCCTCATTTGTCTGAACTCTGACAAAAACCATCCCAACCTAGTCAATCTCTTCTCAAATGTCAGACCCGCCATCCCTGGATTCAGCCAGGTAAACCTTCGCTGCACTCCCTTGAGAGCAAGAGCATCCTTCCTTAGAAAAGGAGACCAAAACTGCGCGCACAGATAGGTGTGAAACTGTGACTAAATTTTATCTCAGTTGGAATGACTCCAGACACTTTAAAAATGATGGTGGCATTCTATTTTTGGCACTCTAAGACACTTTCTTTGATTACCTTATCTGATAGCCTGATAGTTATTTGATCTGGTGCAAGGGGAGTTTTGTCATGTTTCTTGTCTCATTAGCAAAAATTCAGCTGTTCTCTAATTGACAATGTACATCGCAATGGTTAGGGCGATTATGTGCGACATAATTGTCAGGAATACTAGGATGACTAGCCCCTGATGATCTGGAGGTTGGAGTGAGATGGGGCATGTTCAGTGGTCCCCCTCCAGGTTTAGGATTGTCACTTGTGAGTCAGGGGTTCAAGGTTCCAGTAGGGTGGTCAGGATTCAATCTGTAGGTGATAGTTTATTGGCCAGTAAACGTGTGTAACTGGAGTGGTCAGTGGCCGGCCTGGGATTTGTGGCAGATGAAGTTGTCATTCACATGAAGACCCAGGACAATTCTTCATAATCCTGATTAAACATCACCATCAAATCAAGAGACTGACGATCACATTGCTCCTCAATGTGCAGCAGGAAGTGTATGTGGTTACCTGGGTCAGGCAGAGGGAATATTGTGAAGTTCTAAGACCAAACAAGTCGGCACTGTAGCTCAGTAGTTAGCACTGCTGCCTCTCAATGCCAGGGACCTGGGTTTGATTCCACCCTTTGGCGACTGTGTGGAGTTTGCATGTTCTCCCCATGTCTGTGTGGATTTCTTTGGGTGTTCCAGTTTGGTCCCACAGCTCAAAGATGTGCAGGCTAGGAATAGCTATGGGAAATGCAGGGTTATGGGGGAGGTTGGTTGGTTTGGGTGAGATGCTCTTCAGAGTGTTGTTGTGGACTCGATGGGCTGAATGGCCTGCTTCCACGCTGGTAAGGTTTCTGTGATTCTGTAAGTTTTATGTTGACAGGTCTGTAATTGCATGACTTGTCCTTAACGCCAATAAACTGTCATCTACAGATCTAATGCTGGCCACCTTGAACGCCAGATTAACAAACAACCATCCTTTTGGGCAAGGATGTGATGTTTACAATTTTCTCCAGTCTTCTGTTACTTCCGCTGAGTCTAGGGAAAACTGAAAGATTGTGGCCAGTGCCCTGCACTTACCCTTCAGGGAGAGCATCAAAAAAATCTGTCTCTCCTCTTGTCTTTCTGTCAATGTTCTCTCACTTCCTTAAACATTCTTATGTGATGTAAGTTGTGTGATTTATATACATTTTAACATAATTTATTTTTGCATTTTGGCTTTTCTGTGTCCTAAGGGGTTTAATGATAACTTCATTTAACTGAAGCATTTCTATAGCCATGGTTGCTTCGTTTAAAAATGTAGGATTAGAGACAGTCTTTCAGTAGAGTAATGCGGTTTGTTTATGTTTCAAGAGTTAATGAACAAACAACGTAATGGTGTAATGTGTTAGACTTTCAGAGAGGAGATTCTGGAATTTTGTTTTGGCATGGGGAAACGCCTATAGCTTGAGGGGGGAAAGGTACATTTGGTCTAAGGTGATTTGCAGAGTTTGTATAAAATCCTAAAAGTGGAGAACATAACAGAGTTAACAAGTTGAGTTGATGTGATCCTTCAGAACTGGAAGGGATAGAACATTGTGATATTTATGCTGTTGACACAGGAGCAGGAACAAGCGTAACAGATAGTAAAGGTGCACAGAACAATAGATAAGGGACTGCTAATGGTGTTAAAGGAGTGATACAGATGTAAAGTAGGTGTTACACAGTGACAGGCCTGTCCCAATCAGTACTGCAACCCACTATTAGACAGTGACAGAACTGACTCCGTATACTGCATTTTGCAGTGTAAAGACCGCTTCTTTTTGTTTCCTTTAGTGTTGGACAGTAGACTAAAAATGAAGGTACTGCTTTAAGCTCAGGAGTCCACAAAAAGACGGCTGCTGTTTTAAAAAACATGGTACTGAAGTGCATTAGAGTTGTATATAATGTTCCATTGTCCCAGAACAGTGAAAGCAAAAGCAGACACTAGAAGATGTTGGGTTGGAAACTAAGGGATGGTCGCTTGATAATGACATTTTGATTGGCTCCTGACCAAGTAATCGTAGTTTGTGTGGGGCCAGTGTATCAGAAAACCACTTACCCTTCAGAGAAAGCATCAAAAAAATCTATCTCTCCTTTTGTCTTTCTGTCAATGTTCTCTGCAAATCCTCTGTTGAAGGAAGAATAAACCACAATAAAAGGATGAATTCTCAACCAGTGAATGAAAGAGAACATCAGTATGCAGACAACCTTGTGTCAATAGAAAAGAATTAAAGGAACTTAGAAGAACCCAAAAGAACCAACTTCTCAGCTCCTGTACACCTCACTGGTGCTGCCAAATTAAGTTTCCCTGATTTTGTTTAATCTTTTCCACTCTTAATTTCTAGATCTTGTCTGCCTATGTGTCTGCTGTATGTCGGTGGGAATTTAAGAAGGTGTACGGTTTAAGTTGTAGAGTTAACAAAAATTAGTGTTTCATATTTCCTAATTGCCATTGATTAAACACAGACTGTTCAGAATAAGCAGTTATTTTCTTGTTAAGTACAGTGTTGTCTTTTAACCTGAACTCATCACTTGGGCAAAGTGGGGATGTTGAATAGTTTGACTAAATCTTTTAACAGTTATGACAACTCTAGGAACAGTGGGGCTAAATTTCCAATGCACTACCTTTACTCTGCAACCATTAATTAGTCCTGTCACGTTACACAATGCCATGTCTTGTAACCTTGTTCTTTGGTCCATTCCAGGACATGTTTTAAGAAACAACCTTGAGAATATACTATGAGCTGTTCATTTAGGCCAAGCTGATTTTCTAATTTACATGTAGATTAAAGTCACCCGTGATTATTGCTGTCACTTTATCAGGAGCACCCTATGTTTTTTTTTGGTATGCTTCACCCTGTTCCTGTAAAGGGACCTGAAGATTAGTAACTTGTTTCCCCTATTACTCTTCAATTCCATCAGCCCAGTGCTGCATCCTGGTTTCCTGGATCAATGTCACCTTGAACTGTTGCATAAATGTCAACTTGCTTAACATTGCTACTTTAGTTGGCTTTATATTCCTTGTAAATATTGTAATCCCCCTCAGTACTCTGCAATTCAAAAGGCTCCTTCTACAGCACCTTCCAAACTCCTGACCATTACCATTTGGAAGGAAAAGGGAAGCAAGTACACAGAAACACCACCTGTAATTTCCCTTCCAAGTCATTCACCATCTTGACTTGGAAATTTGTCAGCATTCCTTCAGTGTCACTCGGTCAAAGTCCGGGAACTCCCTGCCGAACAGCACTGTGGATCCATCTGTGTCAAATGCACTGCAGCAATTCAAAAACACAGCTCTCCACCACATTTTCAGGAGTAATTGGGGATAGGCAATAAATATTGGCTTAGCCAGCAAAGCCCACGTCCCATGAATGAATTATCACAACATCCTGCAGCCATCTTGCTATAATTTAAAAAGATTAAATATTTATGCATTTACTTCAGAATGTGTTATCAAATTGGCTTCAGTTTTGCTAACTGACTTCCTATGGTTTGTGTGTATGTGGAGGGAACCTTTTATAAGAAGTTTGAAAGTCCATATATACTACATTCATCAACTCCCCTTTTATTAATTTCATTGGTAACCTCTTCAAACTCCAAATTTGTCAAATATGATATTCCATTTGCAAATCCATGCTGATAATGGCCAAGCAGATTGTTTTTAATCCAAGTGTTCATTCAACATGTCCCTTATTCTAGCATTTTCCCTATAACTAATGTAGGGCTGACAATGTTATAGTTCTCCAATCTTTCTCTTACTCCCTTCTTAAATAGTGGAGTTACATTTGCAAGCTTCCACTCTGCAGCAAACATTCCAAAAATTATGGAATTTTGAAAGATGATTGCTGCATTGACCATCTGAATAACAGTCACCTTCAGCAGTTTGGGATGTAGACTGTTAGGTGCGGAGACTTAGCAACTCTTAGACCCATGGATTTCTGCAGAACAACCTCCTTACTAATAACAAGTGCCTTCACCTCTTCATTTTCCTTGGTCACTTGGATGTCTAATTTTGGGAGATTCATTGTATTTCTTAAATGAAAACAGACATACAGTAATCACTTAACTTTTCTTGCATTTCTCCATTCACTGTTATGGTCCTCCTTTATTCTAAAAACTTCCCAGTCCTCTGTTTTTATTGCTATTTCTTGTCACCGTATAAGCCTTTACTTTTAATCTTATATGATCGTTAACTTCCTTTATCTGCTTTTTTAAAAT